GGAAAGCGAAAGGGTGAGTTCTACAAAATCGAGTCTACGTGAGACGCTGCTGACCGTATCCGACTTCAGCCGTTGATGTCGAGGACGACGAGGAGGAGGTCACCGCTGCCAAGAAGGAGAAGCGAATGACGACCAACAAGAAGAAGACTGAAAACTTCTACACCCATGCGGTGAGTCGCGCTCGGGCTGAGGATTACACAGGAGTCATGCTGACGCGGTGCTACAGAATGTCAAGAACAGGAACAGGGAGAGGAAGATCCCTTCGAACAACGGGTTCAAGCGACGTAGAGATAACGAAGAGGAACCGTCTGGGAAGAAACGGCCCAAGACGCGAGGTGGCAGGGGACAGAGATAGCCCTTGGGTCGTGATTTATTTCGGTGCTTTGCTCTTTGACTTTAGGTCCTGTGCAGTGTATATGTATCCTAGTGTACCATCTGGCGACGTCGCGGTATGAGAGCTTGGGACGCGACAGCTCCTATCCTATAGTGCGGATACATAGTACAGACTCTGTAGCTTGCCTCGTCGTCGGTCAAGACCGAGCGGACATCGCCGACGCCGACGCCGAGCTCCGGTTAAAAGTCAGTGCGGTCCAGCTGAAACCTGTCGACTGTCATCCCTCAACCCCTTTGTACGAGTGCGAGTGCTGTCTGTACAGAGGCAACAGCGGACCGTCATCGAGACCGAGGGCCCGGAGAGAGACTTGGTGTCACCCTCGCAACCCTTCTTCGGCAGTCAAGCGTAGCCGGACACTCGTGCTTGACCATGGCCAGCTCGTTGCGGTTAGCCCATGCCCATCCGAGGCTCGGCGGCGGTGCTTTACTTTCCTTGCCGCCCTCGTACGCTGTTTCGAGGCAGTGTAACGTCGCCCAGCGGGCGTACAGACTATACACCACGAATCCTTCGGGTCAGTCAGGCGCCAGCACGAGCACCAGTTCTTCGACCTCCAGCGCTGCTCCTGGCCAAGCGTCCAAGACAGGGAGCCGGATCCCAGTGATACGTACTCTGAGCCAGCTACGACGATGGAGGAACGACGCGAGGGAGAGACGGATGCAAGTGGGCGTGGTACCTACGGTGGGTCTGGCGGGCTCAAGCAGGCTTGAAGATTGGTGAGCGGAAGGTGACACTGACCGGCTTGTCCGCGGGGCAGATGGGCGCGCTGCATGAGGGCCATCTGAACCTCGGTGAGTGCGCCTGTAGTCGGTGAGAACGGTTTGCATGTATGCAGCTGATATTTGGTCCTCCTCCCTTCGCTGTTTCGTCAACTCTCTGCCCCGCCTACGTCGTATACCATGACCCCACGCTGCAACCCCGGTACACTCCCAGTCCGCACATCCCTCGCTAGACACCCACTCACAGTCATGACCCTCTTCGTCAACCCGATGCAGGTGGGCCCAGGCCGTATGCCCCAGGAGTGACAGCTTACAGCGCCCTCGCCCGCTTGACCAGTTCGCGCCGCACGAGGACCTGTCATCCTACCCGCGTACGCTGGAACGAGACCTGGCTCTACTGCAGACACTCCTGCCGGCCTCTGCGCAACCACGAGCCATGCGCGGCCTAGGCGTATCGGAACACGACTCGTCACGCCCACTCCGCGGTGACCCCACCTTGGCGCCCGTCCGGCCGGGCTCCCGCACGCACACTTCCGACGTGAGAAACGGATCCATCGCGAGCTCATCTACGACGTCCACGTTGATGACGGCCACTACCCCAGGGGGGATGTGGGATTCGCCCCTGGTGGTGTTTGCCCCGAATCCGGACGTCATGTATCCCCTCAAGGGGGAGTTGCAGGATCTCAACAAGCATCGGGGGGTGAGTGTGGAACTCCGAGGCTGGGGAGACGTCATGGAGGGGGCTTCGAGGCGTGAGTACTGGCTTGTCGCGCTTGTTTTACAGGTGACCAGCTTCGACACTGGTGTCACAGCGCTGACACGGACAACTCAATGACCCTGGCTGATACCGTGACTCTCCTCCACAGCGCAGTTCTTCAAGGGTGTCGCTACGGTCTGCACAAAGCTGTTCAACGCTGTCGAGGTGCGGCGCAACTTTGCCTAACTCTCAACCAGGCTTGCTGATAGTCTCTGCAGCCCGATCACGCCTACTTTGGCCAAAAAGACATCCAGCAGGCACTGTTGCTGAAGATATGTGAGTAAACCGCTGATCCGCCTGACACGTTGAGCTCGATCGCCTGTTCGTCGTGATCAGCGCTGAAACAGCCCCTCCCATACAGTGGTCCAAGACCTATTGTTGGCCCATCCGACACCGGACAACCTGCATATCCTACCCACGACACGTTCGCCAGCCGGGCTCGCGCTCTCCTCTCGGAACGCTTACCTCTCCCCTGCCGAGATGGCCGTCGCTCCGGTGCTGTATCGAGCTCTGACGGCCGCTCGGGACTTGTACAAGACATCCGCAGCGGCCGGTATCACAGGCGAAGACATCATTAGCGCGGCTACCCGTGTGGTCCTGGCCGAGCAGGAGCGAATCCTCGCTCCGGGACTAACAGAGGGGGACGGCGCGGGTGTGGAGCTGCGTATGGACTATGTCGAAGCGTTTGACAAGACCACGTTTGAGCCTATCAGGGGTCCGATAGGAGAAGCCAGGCAGTTTGTGCTGGCTGGTGCTGTATGGGTGGGCAAGACGAGGCTGATTGATAACCTGCTGGTCGGGTGGGACGTGGACTAGGCGGGGCGGCGAGGGGCCAGTGAGGTATTGGAGCATTGCGACAGCATACAGTCAGAGGGAGCCTTGAAGGTACCAAGACTGCATATACGTCATACAGGTATAGATGGGTGCGGGGTATATGATGATGGTTGATGTCCCTGGAAGCCCCGTCAAGACCGAGTCAAAGGAGCGACCCGCTGACACGACTACAACGCAATGGTGTGAAAGTTTGGAAAGACCAGCTCGTCGACCAGCGTCTTGCGCACCACGTCCACGATGAACCTCTCGACTTTGCCGACGTTTCTCAGCACGTGCGCGTCGACATGACCGATCTCTGACTCGATCTGGAGGTTGGGCAGCAGACGCTGACCCACCGGCTGGGACCTGCGGTCCTCCATCATGGACGTAAAGGTGTGACCTGGACCGGGCGTCTGGGGCACGACGGGATCCTCGTCCAGTATGGTCAGGTGGACGCGGTTCTTCTCGCCCGAATAGGCCATGACGACCTCTCCTTCCAGCTGGAAGCCCGTGATGCTGATCTTGAGCGGGAGAGCCATGAACAGGCTGGAAGGATAGTTGACCTGCAGCGAGGTGAGCAGGGTCAAGTGTAGGTCGGAAGTGTGCGACAGGTGCAGGTGGATCTGCAGACTTGGCACCGACGACGATGAGGCGGATGACGTGTCGGCCGAGGGAAAGCCTTTCGGTCGGGCCGGGGGTGAAGGTGGTGGGGAGAGTAGCGTCGGTTCGCGGGTCTGAGTGGATCTCACTGCGCCTCGGGTCGGTGGCGCCGCGCGGGACTGACCGTTGGGTCCATCGGCGGCCATCGCGCCATCACGATGACGGACGCTGGCGGTCGCGCCATAGGTCGGTCCGTACGCCTGCGATTGCGTCTGCAAAACCGGCGACCGAAGGCCGCTGAAAGCAGGCATGGAAGCAATGGACGCGGGACCCCTGCGACCCAAACCTCCCACGCCGGGCGTGCCGAGCCCCAGACCAGCGGCAAACATGGACGAAGAGGCAGACGTCGGATAAGGGTTGAATCCAGGTGTGGGCGGTGGGAAATGCACCGGACCGAGACCGACGGATACCGACGAGGGGTGATGCTCGAACGGGTACGGGACGAACGATCGTGGGGGTGTGGAGAGGGATGCCGAGGCGCTGGCCGTGGTGGATCCTCCTGCGCCTGCTCCGGCCAGGGCAGCAAGGCCCGCTAGACCTGGTCCGGCGTGATACGATGTTGATCGACCCAGGGGCGTGGAAGGGACGACAGATGGCGTCTGCTTGTGAGATTTGCCTTGCAGCTGAGCTGCCTGCCCGAGCCTGTGTGGCATAGTCATACCCACCGTCCTGGCCGTAGCCGTCCTGTTAGGCTTGTACCGTTGTCCAGTACCCGACCCATACCGCAGCTCCTCTTCCACCATCCCCTCATCCTCTCCGTACCCGTACTCTGCCTCGTGATGGCTATCGAGGCCGCTGCTCATCGACCCGTCTCGTTGTCGGTTACGATGTTGTCTTGATCCCTGCTCGCCTTCTCCCCCATCGACATCCTCCTTCGCCCGATCCTTCTGATCCCCTTCCTCGTCCCCTTCGTCAAACACCCTCCACACATCCCTAATATCCTTGATTTCCAGCTCCGGCCCCGTTTTCCCAAACGAGAACGCCGTGACGGTGATCGGGCCGATGAATGAAGGTCTCTTGGCAGATGACAGCTGCGAGTTCAACATCTTGATCAAAGACGAAGCGAGCGCTTCCTCTGGCGTATCCGCCGTAGTCGCGGCAGGATGGGAATCCGCCGTACCAGGTGATGGCAAGGGCGAAGGCGAGAGCGACGCGGCCCCATAGTGACCGTTGGCTTGATATCGAGGAGATGAAGTGGTGGACGGACCTGCACTCGGTCCGGCTTCAGGCGTAAATAGCAATGACCAGTTGACGTCAATCGACATGTTGGCGGATGCCGAATGACGAACAAGCCGAGGTTGAACAAGCTGCGTCCGGTATAACGCCTCTTGTGTGTGTCGAGGCAAGTCTATGAGCGTCTTACACAGTTGCAGCAGGGCTATTCCCGTCCCTCGAACGCAGCTTGAACGATATCAATGTAGCTTGGTTTATACAACGGACAACAGAAGAACATTGACATTTGGATTTTGTTGATGCGGTGACGACCGCGAACGGCACGGGGCATCCGCAGTGCCCTCAAAGGTCTTCCCGACTTGCATCGTAATCTCAACAGATTACAGTCGTAGCATGCATCGCTGAATTCGAGCATAGACATGTCAACGCTGTACTTGGGGAGGCCCGCCGCCAAAAACAACGACACATTGCCCAAATGCAAAAAGACTGGTCCCACACGGGCTCGAACCGTGGACCGCGGCATACACTAATGCTCCTGAGCAAGCTCGCTGAGTATTAGTACCGTGCGCTACCGACTGCGCCATAAGACCGATGTTTGTGCGCTTTGGTGTCTGTATATATTCACAAATGGACTCAGCAGGCACCTGTAGCACCTGTGTCTGCTATCGCCCCCTTTGCCCCCTCGGCTTCATCACTCTTGCAGATGGATACTGCTCTACACATCGTTTTCAATTATAGCACGTCAGGCACTTGGCCACCACCTGCTAATCGGCCAAACTGAGGTAATAAATGCTTGCTGCTGGCGACGCAAGTGAAGATAACTCATCTGGGCGAACAAACGAACGACTGAGGTCCTCGTGTTGTTTGTATATTTAGTGTTCGCTCCAAGCACTTCGCAGAAGCATGCACACCCTGCTCGACCTGGAAATATCCAATGTCCTCCCTCTAGTTCACTCGTATCCCCTTCAACACACCACATCGTATGAGGTCTTGTGGGAAAAGCTTGTGGGGCTAACTCCAGGGGTGCTTTCTGGGTTCATACATTGAGTCGACTTGGCTATGTACAGCCGGTATGCGGAGTGTGCAATATTTCTACATTTGCATACATACATCAAGTACGTACACCTACAGTGAATAGGCGATCTGATATGGCAGGCGCCATGCACATGGACAGAATGGGAGCATCTCGTGCTCCGGGTACAAGCGCATCCCACAAGGCCACGCAATCACACCATCGTACCCCTTCTCTTCTTCCTTCCCAGTCCGCCAAACTCTTCCCTAGCCACAAGCCACATAGCCGTGACACACACTACATCTTTTAAATTCTCCTCCGTTAGGGCGATACCCTCTCGAACACGCTTTGCAGCCTGCTCAAGAGACGCGTTCGTCTGGCCATTGACGCCGGTATTGCCCTTGACAGACGCAGTAGCCATATCGGTCAAGCAAACCGACTCCAGGGCGATAGGGATCTTCAAAATCCCGATGACCTTGGGATGGTGTGGTGCGGGGGTGAGCGTACCAAGCAGCTGGCGGTGGCCAGTTTTTTTGACCCAGACACTGCAGATCCAAGGGGTTTCAGAGTCTTCCGGATCCGAATCGTCTTCGTCGTACTCGTCCCCGAAATGGACAGACGCGAGGTCCTGCCCTTGGTTGAGCGTGTTGGAGGAGGCCCGCCTAGAAGGGGAAGCAGACGCTGAGATCCGGCGGACCGGCTCAGGTCGGCCATCTAGCTGGGGCGAGGCTGTAGGCGAGTTCTGATTGGAAGAAAGGTTCAACCCAGGCGATGTAGGTGGGAAAGGAGACGCCGACCTTCGAGGCGGCTGAAGAGTGAGTGACGTTTTCGAGTGATTCTCGATCTCGTCAACAGGGCGTGTCGGAGCCAGCATGGGACTATGCACAGGTGAGGCCAGCGTAGGAACCGGAGCAACGGATGCTGCTCTCGACCTGCTCCTTGTCCTTGCTGTCGAAATCGCTCCAGTGGTGGAGTATCGCCTGATGATCTCATCACCCGCAGCACTAGGGGGTACCCTCAGCTTGACCCATTCGAACAATACATCGTTATCGCCCTCGCCTTCCGTGTGCCCGCCGACCATCTCTAGACCGGCATTAGCCGCCGCCACGAGGTGCGCGGCCCAGCCTTCTTGGTTTCGCTTGGCCCACTTTCTGACAGTCCAAGTGTATCCGACCGGTCGGCTAGACGGGATGATGGGCAGGGGTTGGCATCGATCGGACCTGGCGAGTACGTCCTCGGCGGGAGCAGCTTTGATGGTCGAATGATCGACAGGAGCAGTGAGTCCTGTCACTGCGCCTTCAGGCGTTACGACGGCGCCTGACGACTGACGTCTGACCACGAGAGGAGCAGTGCCAAAGGTTGGGTGGCCCAAGTGGACTGACGGATGGTCCTGGGTTGATAAGCTGTGCGTCTTGTGATTGGGCGCACCACTCGGATATAGGTTGTCGGACGCCACGGCAAAGCTCTGACTATTGGCCTCAGGCGATACCAGTGTGCCACTGACGCGGTCGGGAGACGAGAAAGAGGCGGAGGGACTAGTCTTCCTGCTGCGATGGCCTCCATTGCTTTCTCGAGCAGGAACAGCGAGATCAGAGATACTCGGTTTCTTCTTGAATATTTTGCCGAAGAACTTCTTCGCCCCGCTCTCATGCCCATCAGCCTTCTTGTCAAGCTTGAAGCCCTTTAGGTCTAAGCTAGCTCTCACGCCCGAGGGTCGACCGTCATCACTGCGTGTCATGGTGGGCGAGAGGGGCGCTGTGAGTGATGCGACAGACAGAGGTCTGCCTTTTCGAGGTTCAACGTCGTCTGAAGCGCGTCGGGGCCCAGAGAAGGGGTTGTAATCGTTCGAACGTAGCCAGACCTCCGATGGTTCGAGTACACCGACTCCAGATATGTCTAGGTTGCGCCTGTGAAACTGAATGGCAAGTTAGTGGGACGCACGACCAAGCAGCACCGACCGAGACCCTCACTTTTGCGACCTTGACATCCGTTGCAGCATCTGTCACCACCGTCGGCTGCATGACGTTGTGTACCGCAAGATTGAACATCGGCTCAATCCTTTTACCCGAGGCGGTACTGGTTCCGGTCGCAGCAGTCGAGGTGGACAGGCTGGATCGAAGGGAGGTCGATCGCTGGAGGCTTGAAGGATCGGTATCGGCTGTACCGAAGGACGTGGATTTGGGCGATCCCGAAGCTTGGGAGGGAGTTGGTAATGGTCTATTAGAAGGGGCAGGAGGAGAAGTAGACGTCGGCGAGTCGACCTGAGCGGCAGCAGCGGCGCCTCCGTTCTCAGGACCATCGGAAACATCGCTCTCCTCTGTTGGCAAGTCGATCGCTGGAGTGGCAGGAGAAGCTGATGCGGAGTTAACAAGCTCTTCACCCATTCCTGATGCGCTACGGCGCGAGAAGGCCGATGCGGAGCGATCACGGCCTCGGGTTTTCGGCTTGACGACAAGCTGGATTTGTAGGTTGAGTGGGTTTTTGGAAGAAGTGGGAGGGGGCTTGACGATAATGTATGTCTACGGGGCGAATGATACACCGCTATCAGCACGACCCTCTTGGAGCACAGCGCACGGTCCAGTTCTCCAAGAGAGACTCACGTCAAGAGCAGCCTTTCGCTTCCTAGACCTTGGCTCTCCAATACTACTCGACGTCGTGAGGCCACTGGCCGTACTGATTGGCCGAGGTCCGCGCTTCGTCGGCGTCCTCTTTCGCTCCATCGTCTCTGGCTCAGCTATACTGACGCTTACTCCAGAGCTTTTCCTTGTCGCGGGCACTTCTGGACCTTCCGACGAATCGGACGAACTAGGCAGTGAAGAGACTGTATTGGCGCTTCTCAGGCTCGGTCTAATGAGAGCTGAGGACGAAGATTGTCGCATTGATGAGGGACGCGCGGGTACTTTGTTGGGTGAAGGGAGATCTGAGCTGGTGCCAGGTTGGAAGCCTACCGCGGCTGATGCTCGACGGGAAGCGGCTGATGAGGGTCCAGGTCCAGCGACGGCCCCGTTGGATGTGACAGGACTTGCGACACTGTTGTACGAGGAATCATGGCTCGAGCCGGTCGGAGGTTGTGGTTGATCTGGGTTGATTGCGAACAGGTTGAGAGGGTTCATCGAGGCCGTGAGGGACTTGAGGTCCTGCATGGACTGAAAGAACGGCATGGTGAGGAGGTATCGTGGGTGATTCAGTCGAGCAGGGTCGATTTATGGCAACGATCTGAGGTGTGAATGGATCGAGTCGCTTTCGGTTCGCTTCGACGTTGGAGCGAGCTGGGTAGCGAGCTCACGGGCTTGGCGTATTACGCTTAGATCCTCTCGAAAGCCAATCTCTCCAGTTGGATCGTGCTCTACTGTCCCCTGATCTGTGTGACGCGGAGCTAGCAGAGCACACACAGCTGTGAGATCATGCAGTGACACTGGGCCGGTGCCGAGTGGACGTGCTCCGCGTTTGGGCTGTGCTGCGGGAGTAGGGGGGAGCGTCGAATTGGCTCGGCGGAGGTGTCCGTCGATGTTATTGTGATCCTGGCCGAGGGCGGTCGTGACTGCTTTATCCGCTATTGCCTTTGTTTGAGAGCGAGGACTGATCTGGTTCTGGGCTGAGCCGAGGGCGAGGTCCTAATCGCATGCCATGGTGGGTTGTATGTAGGATGAATGGTTTGATCCTGTCGCAGTTTGCTTGGCTTGTAGCAGGTATTTAGAGTTAAGCTTGTCTGGTGAGTTCGCTCGGGTATGACCAAAGGGAAATGACCGCTTGACCGGGTGGATGACGTGAGCTGACCCGATGCCGTGACCGAGGCTGGTGGGTACCGATTGTTGACTCGGTGAAGGGAGAAAGCTTGTTGTGGTGGATAGGTGGGAGAGAGCGAGAACAGGAGACGATGGATGCATCGAGGTGTACGAGCAAAACGTCCATTCATGCAAAGGAACCGTCGTGCAGTAAACAGCGTCGTCCCACCATGTCCGTTCAAAGGAACCCTCATTTCCACCATGACACCATGTTTACACGGGCGGTGGCCGGGGGATCACCAAACACAGGCTCGTACGACAAAAATGTTTATTCACTGTCCCGCCCGATGATCGGCTCATACGCGATACATCAGCCTCCAAGACTCATCACATACATGCCTGCCATTCAATCCTCTGTCCTGTGTCTATGCACCACCCGAACGACGTGGTCCACATACATACAGTCGCTTCTGTCAGCGGCTTGCATCGCTCAACGGCTCACGGCTACGGGCATACGGGCAGGCGGTAGCCGAAGCGCTTGGGTAAGCACGTTAGTATGCGAGGTCGTGTGTCAGACCCGATGGCCGAGTAATTCGGCCACCGACTCCCTTTTAGCCAGCCGGGATCGCGGTCAGCGCTAAATGCATATTCCCACTCCTTGCCTTGTTCGGAGGCAATATGCTCTCGCCTGACTGACCAGGTGTCGGGTCTGGACCGCGAGAGCGACTGAAAATTTCACCTGGTAACCGGCTTGGTCATAACCTAGCGAGCGGAAGGGCATTCACCACCCCCTTGATCGCTGATCTCCCAGCCCTGACGAAGCGCAAAATACCAAACGGCGGGCGCCGACGCG